TTGTGAATGATTGGGGTAGTGTGATACCAGAAATAGTCCCCTGGCAAGTGAATTGTTACAATTTTTGAACAGTTGTTACAATTCTTGGTTAGTGCTATTTTAAAAGTCTTACCAAAGCCACACTACACCTAATTGTAAGCTGAGGAAAAAAAATGAGTATTTTAAAATAACTTAGTTTATACATTCCTCATTAAACATTGCAGAGCTATTTTGTTTAATGACAATGCCACTACATTTTAAATTAAAAGTAATTAAAAAAATCTATTATGCATATACACATGCATTAATATTATGCTGCATAACCCCCAAATATATACAGAACTAGAACAATTATTCTTCAACTTGTATCCTGCTCTAACATGCTAGCTTCCTCTTGAACAAAATATTTTATTTTGAATCAGAGATATATATGCCTTTTAGATTTATCAAACTAAAGCAACTCCTTGTGCAGAAATATACTTTGAAATTTTAACAGCCAAAATAGAGCGTATTTGTTGCCATAATTGTTATAAAATTATGTTAACAGTACCAATATAAAGCTCTGTCTTTTTAAAAAATGAATTAGTGAAAAGTAGAATGTAGCCATAAAAATGACATTAAAAACTATAACTGTTTAATAATTCCAAGTTTCATCTGCTGAATGCTGAAACGATCACTTTACAAGAGGCCCTGATTCCTTCTATAAACTAATTTCCAACAATCAAGGATATCTCCAACTCTAGTATTGTAGTGTGACATTGAAGGGATTATAGTGACTGTCAGATACCAGATCCTCCATTGGATAAAACATTTTAGAATTAGAATTCCTAATTAGAAAGAGAATTACTTTGAGATGAAATCAGAAAGAGGGGTAATTTGAGATGACAGTGGATCAGGTGCTAAGAACTATGCTTTAACTATTTAACATTTTAACAATTTTTTCCCCACTGCATTTTTCCAAGAAAAAGAGAGTGAGTGAGCACATCCTTTGTAATCCCAACTCGGCAACTTACTTTCCATATTTTCTTGGTAAAATTATTTGAAGTATTTGATCCTCAATTATTTTATTTATATGAAAGTACCAATACCTCTCTCATAGGATTGTTATAATGCCAGGGTAGGATAATACAAGTAAAATATAGCAGATATTTTAAACAGGATACTTTCCTTCCCTTATCCAGTTGTAAGACTCTTCCGCAAAACATGATAAATTGCATCCAGCCAAATATTACTTTTCATGTAAACCCAGGCTTTTTAACATGATAAAAAGACAACATGTCAATATTTAGAGTATCAAAAATATGTTTCATTGTTAGCCTGTGCCATCTTTAAAGAGTATTTAGAAAGCCTGAAAAATACAATGTTTTAAAAAGCAGTGTCATTATCTGATCCAACAATTCCACCCTTAGGTAAGTATATAAAGCATACAAAAAGCCAATTCAAAGGGACATATGCACTCCTGTGTTCATTGTTGCATTATATACCATAACCAAGTTCTGGAAACACATGGCCAAGGACAGAGGGGTGGCTAAGGAAGATGTGGTATATGCACCCAGTGGAATACTACCTGCCATTAAAAAAAAAAATGAATTCTTGTCACTTGTTACAATTATGATGGAAATGGAGGGGATTATGCTAAGCAAATTAAGTCAGAAGGAAAAAGACAAATACAGGATAATTTCACTTGTGAAATAAAAAGGAACAGACAAAACGCAACCGAAACAAAACCTAGACAGTTGATTGCAGAATGGAGGCTACTAGAGACTAAAAATGTGGGGTGCAAAGCAGGAGGGGCCCAGTGGACTATGGTGGAGGATTGTGGGTGTTTTGGTTGTGGGTGTGGTGTGATAACATACTTTTAAAGAGGTGCCCAAAAATAGATGACTGGATCAAGAAGATGTGGTACATATATACCATAGAATATTACTCAGCATTCAAAAAAGATAAACACATGCAATTTGCAGCAACATGGATGGCGCTGGAAGGGATCATGCTCAGTGAAATAAGCCAAAAAGAAAAAGAAAAATATCGGATGGTCTCACTCATAGCAGGAATCTAGAAAACTTAAATAAGGGACCAGGAAAATGAATAACTATAAGAAAGTAAAAATCAAAATCAACAAAAAACTATGAACCAGAGACACTCTATGGGGGGTAGGGGGCAGGAGGGGAGGGATTGGGGTCAGAATGGGGGGGTTGCAATTGTATGGGGAATATAAAAATAAAATTTATTATTAAAAAAAGGTGTAAATCTATACTCCTTAAACATATTTAGTTTGAACCAACATTACTTCAATTAAAAAGTAATGAAAAAAATTAAAGCCAGTGTTAAAGTTAAAGCAATGATTAGAAAAATATCTCAGAACAATCAAACAAAGGAAAATGTGGTTTTACAAATATATTATCTTTCTTTTAAACACTTTTTTAGATCATTTTAAATTTTCAATAAACTTGAGAGAGAGATACAGAGATATGCCCTCCCCCTCACATGCACAGCTTTCTCAATATCCATATCCTCCACCAGAGTGGCACATTTGTTACAGGTGATGATCATATCAGGCGAACATATCATTGACATATTGTAAATACCCAAAGCCCATCATTTACCCTACACTTCACTCTTCATGTTGTACATTATATGAGTTAGGACAAATTTAAAATGACAAATGCCCATAATTAATAGTATTATCTGATTATTTTCACTGCTCCCCAAAATTGTCTGTATCTACCTGTTCACTTTCCCCCTTCCCTAGCAACAACTGCTCTTTTTATTGTCTCCATAGTTTTGGCTTTTCCAGAATGTCATATGGTTAGAATAATACAGTGTATAGACCTGGCTTTGTTTACTTACTGATATGCATTTAAGATTCTTCCAGGTCTTTTCTTGTTTTGATAGCTCATTTCTTTTTCTTTTTTTTAAAATTTTATTTTATATGTTTTTTACATCATTTTTCATTTTGGCACAATGTATGCATTTTCATCTTGGTTATAGTCCCCATATAATTCTCACCCCCCTTGTTTTGATCCTACTCCCTTCTCTCCCCCTCCCACCCCCCATAGTGTGTCTCTGGTTTATAGTTGCTTGTTGATTTCGATTTTTGCTTTATTATAATTAGTCTTTTTCCTGGTCCCTTATTTAGATTTTCTAAATTCCTGCTATTAGTGAGACCATCTGGTATTTGTATTTTTCTTTTTTTTTCTGGCTTATTTCTCTGAGCATGATCCCTTCCAGCTCCATCCATGTTGCTGCAAATTGCATGAGTTTATCTGTTTTGATTGCTGAGTAATATTCCATTGTGTATATGTACCACATCTTCTTGATCCAGTCATCTATTTTGGGGCATTTGGGTTGAAGAGCTAAAAAGAAACTTCTCCAAAGAGGAAATACAAATGGCCAACAGGCATATGAAAAAATGTTCAACATCACTTGTAATCAGAGAAATGCAAATCAAAATTACAATGAGGTACCTTCTTACACCAGTGAGAATGGCACATATTAAAAAAACTAGCAACAACAAATGTTGGCGAGGTTGTGGAGAAAAAGGAACTCTTCTGCACTGTTGGTGGGAGTGCAAACTGGTCCAATCACTATGGAGAGCTGTGTGGAGATTCCTGGACCTACTAAACATAGAGCTTCCATATGACCCAGCAATTCCATTCCTGGGTATTTACCCAAAGGACATAGAAACATCCATTCAAAAGGGCACCTGCACCCCGTTTATAGCAGCACTATTTACAATAGGTGAGCTATGGAAACAAACCATTTCTTTTACTTTTTAGCACTAAATAGTATTCTCTTTGTCAGCTTATTTACCATTCACCCAGTTAAGGAATCTTGATAATTTCCAAATTTTAATAGTTATGAAAAAAGTTGCCATAAACATCCATGCTCGTTTTTATTTTTCCCCTGGACTTGTCTTCAACTTTCTGGGGAGATACCAAGGAGTGCATTTGCTCGATCATATCATAAGAGTGTATTTAGTTTTGAAAGAACCCACCAAACTATCTTCAAAGTTGCTGTAGCATTTTACCTGCCCACCATCAATGTATGACATTTCCTCACCAGCATTTGACATGGTCAGTGTTCTGGAATTGTCCTTCTTGGTGGGAATTCATTGCTATTTTAATTTACATTTCCCTGATCACTTATGAGTAATATCTATTTTCATGCTTAAGTATCATCTGTTTATCTTCTTTAGTGAGGTGTCTCATAGGTCATTTGGTTGATCTTTTAATTAGGTTGTTTGCTATTGTTCAGTTTTAGAATTTCCTTGTATATTTTGGAAAATAGTCCTTCATCAGATGTCTTTTGCAATATTTCTTCCCAGGCCATCTCCTGTCTTACTCTCTTGATATTGTCTTGCAGAGCAGAGGTTTGTAATATTAGTGAAGTACAGCTTATCAGTTATATTTCTTACCTTCCTCAAGTGTTGTATTGCTTTTTTTAATTCCTAACATTTCTTCTTTTGGGTACTTTCTTAGAGTTTCCATCTCTGACTTATGTTTGCTCATCTGTTCTTGCATGTTTTCTGGACTAATAACTGTTTATATATATTTTTAAATTTCTAATCAGATCATTCTAATATTCCTTTGCCTGTTCTGGTTCTGATGCTTGCTCTGTCTCTTCAAATTATATTTTAAGCCTTTTTTTCCATGCTTTGTAATTTTGTTCCTGATAGCCAGGCATGATTCACTGGTAAAAAGAAATTGCTGTGATTAGGTCTTTAGTAATGTAATGGGGAGCCTTAGGGGAGGTGAAGTGTTCCACTGTCCTTCGGTTTCCCTCACTTAGTGAGCCTGTGCCTTTGGGCTGTGAGTTACAAGCCTTCCAGTTTTTTCTAGCCCACACCCCCAGGCGGCCCAGTTTGGCTACTTTAGACTGGAGTTGGCATTTCCCTTCCGCAGGACAGTTAGGCTCCAATAGCACCCAGCTGCTTAGGCTCTGGTGAACTAGCTTCACCTGAGGACAGCCTTTTTAAGGCCAGACTGCTCTGCAGCACTTCAGAGTGGTTCTTTCTCCCTCTCCCCAGTGGAACTGAGAGAGGATTTTTCGCTGGTATTTTCAGTGGAAATTTTGTTGAGCTCCTGGAGGTGAGTCTTTTATTTTTTTTTTCTGCTGCTTTCTCCTTTATGACTGGGCCCACTGGAGTTTTTAACTCTCAGGGTTGTTTCCACTGGTCTCCCAGCAGTTCTTTTGGCCCAAGTTCTCCTGCCCAGTGCTGGTTACCCTCGGCGTTTCCACTGCTGAGTTTCTGCTCTGGGAAACAGCCTTCCTGGACTTTTCTCTCCATTCTTGGGGAAGCGTTTTGCCCTGTTGCTCGCCTCTCTTGTGTATCCAAGAAGAGTTGTTGATTTTTCACTTTTTTTCAGTTTTTCATCTGTTAGGATGGAGTGGCGACTTCTAAGCTTCTTATTTATGGGATCACAAATTCTACTTATTTCTTGAGGAAGTGAAATTAGTGCAGACTGACTGGGCTTTCCAGTTCCTTGATCTGATCAATGTTATAGAGTGCTTATATAAATAAAAAAGGAGAAAAAAATTTAGCCTATTCCCTAGACAAATCCCATCAGAAATTAATCGCTCTAGGGGAATTTTACAGGAACTGGATAATTTGAATATAAAGCTACAGTTTAATACCTGAGTTCTGTGCATTTAGTTGAAAGAGTATCTTCAGATTCCACCTGGCTAGTAGGTATACGTGACATAAATATAAAAGTTAAATAATCTGAGTTGTAAACTCATCCCTCTATAGGATTTTTTCCCAGAAAACTAATGCAGTAAGAGGTATTTGTTTACAAAAAAAAAAAAAAAAAAAAAGAAAAAAACAACAGAAAACAAAACCTGATGTAGTAGTAATAGGCCAGTTCAAAATATTTTCCAGGAAGAAATTTTGCCTGAGTAGAAAAAGAACAATCCTAAGAAAGGATTGGTTGAAGCCATAGATTTTTCTTCCTTCATGATAAAAGGCTGGTGGATTACACTGGTTTAGCTGTAGGCAGGAACTACCAATTTTCTGACTTCACCTGTTTTTTAAAAAATGTTTTTGTAAGGGTTTGTACTGGTGCTATTGCAATGGTTACTCTAAAATAAGCTTGGCATTAGTCAACCTACTGTATAGAGAATGAGGGTTCATCTGAAAATTATTATAAAACAACACAATGTTAATTGAAGAATATTAATATGGAACTGCCATGTCTGAAAATAAGTGAACAATAATTTTGCTAAGTGGTTTGCTTCTCGACTTCATTATCAGTAAAGGGAAGCATTCAAGTACAAAAGAGAATAGTATGTACTTTTATTGGCTTGTCAAATTATCCAAATATACCTCAACTGTGAGTGGCACAAATATTAAGGGAGCATTTCAGAAAACAAAGTTGGAGAGTAACCATGTTTTTCCTCTAAAACTTTCATTTTCTAGTTTCCTTTTACATCAAGACTGCAGAAAATGATTCCTGCCTCCTTCTGACCTCTATATATTAAGGTAATGTTCCTTATTTAAATTTTTAGCATGTCCTAATGTTAAACTGAAATCTGGTGTTTTTTACTGGAATTGGTGCTTTAGTGTGTGGTCTCTGGAGGCAGAGCAAGGCACACAGATCTGGGTACAAGTCATTTATGTGATGTGGGGAGCAGATGACAGAAAAGAGAAGGTGACAAAAGAGGAAAAGCCCCTGTGTTTGCCTGAGTGGATTTGTAGTTCTAGGTTGCAGTGACTATTCTAGAACCTCAGAGAATCTCATTCCCCACACTTCCTGGTTAGGCTCCAAAGAGGGCTGACCTGGTAGCGCAGGAGCCCGAGTGCCCAGGCTATGCCTCACAGGTGCAGCTCATCAGGGGCACAGTGGGCAGGAAACCCGAGGCAGAGAAGGTGGCTACTGCCATCAGCGCCTTTAGTCTTTTCTCTTTTTATGTGATTGACTTCTATAAAGCTTATGTTTGCAAAATAATCAGACTGCAAAGTAATCAGATTGCAGTATAACCAAGAAAAACATTTATTGGAGACTAGGGACCACAATCTGGGTCCACCACCAAGAACCAGTGGCCAGGTGTGTTCCCCCAGGGTCAGAGCAAAGGGGACTTTGAAAGGTTGCGCCGAACTTTGTTTTCAAGCTTTTGGGTTGATTGACAAAAGTCTTCAGAGGTGGCAGTGTGAGGCCTTTTGTAAGCATCAGAAGATGGTCTTCCCTGTTTTCTTTCCTAATCCCAGCTGATAAAAACTAAAGAGTGTGTTGGTGTTCTTTTGTAGTCCCTGATGAGGATTTGTATCAGGTGGCTGAATTAGGCCACACTCGGCAGTTCACTTAGATTTCTCAGCATGGCAGAGGCAAGAGGGAGTCTATTCATTTCAAAGTAGGTTTCACATAGATCTCCAGAAGCACTTTTGTTAAATTTATTGTGTTATTTTTATGTATTGTTAGCTGTTGTGGATCTTTACTCAGCATTTCTAAAATTGTCACTTGCAGACATCTATAAGATGACAGAAAACTTAAAGGTAAACTGAGGCAAGTTCTAAAGCAGTTTTTATTCAGGAATAGCAGAGGAATTGCAGTTTGGGACATACAAACCACAACAAACTATAGGCAAGTTCTTATGGCTTTGGGGTAGGCTGTGTTTGTGGGGAGGGAGAGGAAAGTGTTGAGTTATAATCTACTAAAATGAAAAACAAATAGAGACCAGCCCTGAATTTTGTTGTCATTTTTTTCTATTTGCTAACATATGTGAATTACTCCTGTAATTTATCATCACCAGAATAGATTTTACTACCAGAAGTATGCACTATGCTCTTATTTTAGACTTCCCTGTATGTACACTCTACTAGATTATTTGTTCAAATTTTAAAATAGTGTTCTTAGGAAGTTTCTCATTTTAGTTTTTTCTCATAACCAACAAGATCATACCTGGATATAACAGTAAAATAAATTCTCCAAAAGGAACTATGGAAAGCTCTCTATAATGTGTTCTTTCTCTGCACAAATTAATTTTTGGGCACCAAGATATTGAGGGACAGAAAATTTACCTGGGAATGTAAGGAATAAAGCCTTAATGTATATTAGAAAATGTCTTATTGGAAATCAGCTCAAATATAAATTAACTTCTCAATTGCCTTTAGTCATGTCTGCTATTCCTTTTTCTCTTCATGAATTTATAATCAAATACCACATTTTAGATATGGCCTGAGTCTGTTCTTAGACAGTGGTGTTTGAATTTTTAGCTTTTGGCTGTTAATGAATATATATGGTGATGTTTCATTCAAGTCATTACTTGTTAGAGAAAAATAAGTATTTTGAGTGTCGCAATGCTGCCTTGTGTGTGATTTCACTTGTAGCCAAGAGTAATGAGTCGGTTTCTCCTTAAGTAGAAGATAACCTACACACAGGTAAGTAATCTCTTTTCTGTTTAGAGAACCAAAGTGTCTGGAATGAAGTTATTCTGCAGCTGAAATATGTTTTCCTCAAATTTTTACTTACCTATGATGTTGGATTCAAGAAATTTCAGTGATTTCTATATTAAAATATCTCCGTAGCCACAGAAATGATTGCTTATGTTCTTGTAGAAAAGTTGAAATAAATTTACAGCTCAATAAAATACTGGCAAAACTGGTCAGTGCCCATATCAATATCAGTTACATTCCATCAGACACAATGTACAATTCTTGTGGGAAAAAATTACTTGTGTTGCTATTGGTTTACTATGACTTTCATCTCCACAGAGTTGTAACATAGCTTAGTCAAAGGTAGACAAAAAGTGGGAATAATCTAGATGGATGAGCTGCTCAGCCCACAAGATTGCAATGTCTGACAATTTTTCTTTACCATCTCTACCCACCTGGCTCACTCTTCAGAGACCTTGTAAGGAAAGTAAAAACAAATGTCAGGAACTGCGGTGTGCTTACTTGACAGACACCGTTTGGAGTTTGTGGCATGTACTCTTGTCGAGATAGATGTTTATATACTCTCTGGAGAGCACTGTTGAGAATTCTTCAGAACTCCCAATTACTGAGATGTGTAATTGTAGATGTTCTATAGATCATAACCTTCTCTTTAGCCTGTATTTTGGCATCAGGAGAAAACCTCAGCTTCTCTTGGTTGCAATTCCATTACCAGCATGTCTCCTGGACAGGTCCTGAGAAAGTTCTTCACTTCCCTCGCTCATGTGCTCCACATCTGATTCATTCACAACTCTATCTGGTGCTTTATCAAACCTTTGGATTGTGGCCCACCCAATGAAACCAATTTGATATCAGTACTCGTATAAATTACTTGCAATTCATTTTCTCACCCTTTTATATTACTCAGGTGAGCTTCAGACCTGTGTCCATACCATGGGGGCCACATTTGTGTCCTGCTTCCTGCATTGAATTGTGTTGGGGTGGGGAAAGTTAAGCTCACAAAACACAAACAGTTCCCACCAAAAAAAGTTTTGTTAACTTTCATTCTCCCCTTCCTTGACCATTAGTGATCTCTATTTGCCAAAGTAAATGCCTGGAGGTGATAGTTCTGGTCTTCTCTGTGCTTTGAAAGTCAGGAATACTAGTGCATCTGAGAATCCACAATCTCCTACCCCCTTCTGAAAATAGAATGTTCCTATTTGGCTTGATTTGGTAGATTATTTTTGGGAGAAATGATATTTCTATTTATATGGAAATATTTTTGAGTATTCCCAGACCCAAAAAAGTTATCTACTAAATCATACCAAATAGGAATATTTTATTTTCAGATAGGGGAATCTGTAACTTTATAAATATACGTCCTGCAGTTTTAATGCTTTATGGAAAATGAGACTTGAATAGTTGTACTTTCACATCTTAGTTAGAAGGAAAAACTCACTGTAACTTTAATTTGCTTTCATATGTGCTTTATGATCAAATAAAAGCAAACTTGGACTTAGGTAGGAGAGACTTTATTCAGATGAATTGCAATAACAATAAGGGGAAGCTGTTGCAATAGATGAAGCCAACCCTTGCAAAAGGAAAGAATGTTCCGACCACAAGGCCTACAAGCTTCACAGGCACAAAGATTCTTTTGTGTCAGGAATAAAGAAGGCTAGAAACCTGGTTTTGGGGAGTGTATTAAGAGGGTGGAGTAATTTGACACAGGAGCAGAAAGTATTCTCTTGATGAAAAAGTCTTTCAAGAAAGGGTAATTCCATTTTGGATGTAGATGCTGGCTTAGGCTGAGTAGGAGGCAAAGTTAAGATGCCTGGAGGTGGGGAGAAGTTTAAAGTTTGATCAAGTATTGAACAGGTATTTTGTACAGTTTGACCAGTGGTGCAAGAAGGATTTGGAGGTTCTGTCTGGCCATAGAGAAACACAGGGGATTCATTAATCTTTTCTAGGTTGTTTGGTGAAGGATGCTTCTTTGTATTTAATCTGTTTGTGCAACACAAAAGGGTCTGGAGATATCTTCACAATCACTGTTTTTCTGAGTACAAGGCTGAGGAAAAATTGTCTATTACTATCTAACTTCATTTGTGTAGTGGGGCCACCTTGTTTCTATTTACAAAGTGTTCTTAGAGCAGTTTCTTCAGTTGCATCTTCCATGAGAGGAACTGATGAGATTTCATTTTTTGAGAGTAACAAAAAGAAGGCAGGATGAGACTTTTCAAGGGACACTTGACAAAAAAATTGTCTTGGAAGCTCTATTTCTGAAGAGGTACATAGCTTTCGGCCTTTAAAATGAGGCCATGTAGCTGGAACTTTTATCACATCTTTGCTAAGAGTTCCCATGTGAATAATTCTAGGCAATTCTAAGCCTTGTGAAGAATATATTTGCTTTAAAGAAAACTAGAATGTTCCTGTGTAGAAGGAGCAAAATCTATTAGTCTGAGAACTGGACTGGAAGATAGAACTCCAGTTTCTATTTACAGCTTCAGTGGAGATTGGCTTTTGTCTCTCAGGGCGTTCCCTGCCTCAGTCTCCATATTTCTAGGAGAATTTGCAAAAAATTGTCACAGATTCCTTAAATAAAATCATAGACACAGCTTAGTACTGGATTTTTCTACATATACACAACCAAACATTAATTTATGGAAGTTATAAAAATTATACGTGTTTTAAAACCTGTATTATTTACATGCATGAAGTAATACTTTGCTTATATTCCAGGCTTTGTTCTAAGTTCTTTACACATAATCCTTCATTTAATGCTTGCAACAATACTTTGAGGTGGATGCCATTATTCTCTCCCTTCTACACCTGAGTAACTAAATGGAGGGGTCAAGTAACTGGCTCAGATTTACAAAATGGGGAGTGTGGTTTTGTATTCTTGTGGCTTAAGTTCATAACTTACTATTGAAAGGTAATCAAAATAAAGGATCTAATGCAATTAGAGTCTCAAAATGGCCCATCTGATTGGAAATCTTTGGTAATTAAAGGCTTTAATTATCTCAATTTCTGGATTAAAAAAAATGAGTTCTGTTTTAGATTTGAAGGGGAGCACCTGATTCTTTAGCATTATAATTGAATGCTATCTCTATTAAAAA